AACGGTGGACTACCTCTGTGCTCCGGCTGTTTCCCGGGAAACGGTGGATTACCTTTGGGCTCCGGCTGTTTCCCAGGAAACGGTGGATTACCTTTGGGGCTCTGGCTGTTTCGGCTGTTTCCCGGGAAACGCTCCGGCTGTTTCCCGCAACACGGTGGATTATCTTTGGGCTCTGGCTGTTTCGGCTGTTTCCCGGGAAACGGTGGATTACCTTGGGCTCCGGCTGTTTCCCGGGAAGCGGCGGATTACCTCTGGGCTCTGGCTGTTTTGGCTGTTTCCCGGGAGACGGTGGATTGCCTCATGATTACCTATGGGATCCTATGGGCTCCGGCTGTTTCCCGGGAAACGGTGGATTACCTCTGGGCTCCAACTGTTTCCCGGGAAACGGTGGATTACCTCTGGGCTCTAGCTGTTTCGGCTGCTTCCCGGGAAACGGTGGATTACATCTGGGCTCCAACTGTTTCCCGGGAAACGGTGGATTACCTCTGGGCTCTGGCTGTTTCGGCTGTTTCTTCGGGAAACGGTGGATTACTTCTGGGCTCCGGCTGCTTCCTGGGAAACGTCGGATTGCCTCCTGGGCTTCGGATGTTTCCTTGGGCAGGACGGATTACCTTTTTGGGCGCCGGCTATTTCCCGGCAACAGTGGATTGCCGTCGACTTCGGGCGTCAGCTGTTTTGCATCTGCACAGCGAGTGCGTTATTGGCACGCTGTATCTTTGGACACCTTCATTGTGGGAAACATGGCTTTTCTGCCCTGAGCACCCCCAAGAATGTTGTAATATAAGTTGTGTTGGCGGGGGGCGCAGTGAATAATTTCCTTGATCTTTTGCACAGGGCACTGTGCTGGAGTTGCCGGTTGCAAAGGCATCTCTGGGGAAGACGTAAGAACATGGTGTTAACTGCAGTGTTAGTTAAACATGACATGGTCGGTTGTTTCAACTGCCTGCCCCTAGAAAGGATAGGTTACTTTCCGGCTTAAGCTTTCCCTGGGTTCCGTTTGTTTCCTGGGTGTGCGGCGAGGGTTTTCTATGCCTGCAAGCGCAGCACGTCTTTTGGCTTGTTTCCGGCAGTAGTCTCGGATCCCGCGTGAAATTCCTATTGCACGAAAGGAGCATGGTTCGCAAAGTCATTGACAACATATGACAACATTGAGTGCCTTCGCATTGCCAGTTGCTCTGTCTTACTTCAGGCTGTCCTGTCGGAGCTGGGAGCTGGCCTTCTGAAGGACACATGGCGCGTTAAGTTACATCTTTATTAGTTAAAGATGTCCCTTCGTAGCTGGATGTGGGTTCACTTTTGACGTAGCGTTGATTCCTGGAGCTTCCCATGGAGATTTGGAGGAAGTCCTTCTGATCTAGTGTTTGATTTTCACTTGTGGATTTGAGTTCACCAATTAGCCTTTCCCGAGCCGTGAGCCCCAAGGGGCGCGTGTTATGTCAGGGAATCTGCCTGAAGTGCCACCCCCTTAGTGTGATCAACTTGGGGCTACTTTTCCCAGCTGTTCAATTTGGCTAAAGACCGACAATTCAAATTTGCTGACGGAGGACCTGCAGCTTGAGTCGCTTGATCCACTATAAAAAAGGATCTGATTTGGCACTCCCGTAAGTTTGTCAGCGTTGCTTGCCAATCTAGCTTGAGGAGCACAATATGATGTTTGACCTTGAGACATTTCAGCGCTTTGTTGGCGGATGATGTTGCCACTAAAAATTGGGACTGACACTGGCATTATGTTTTGAAATTTGTTTAGTCAGACAAGAAACCTAGTATTGGCGTTGACATTTGTTTTGTTTGTTTAGATGTTTGGCAGATATTTCCACAAACCGGTGGCAAACCACTTTGTTCTAATGGCATGGCCTTTATCGATTTGGGACTGTGGAAAATCTAGTGGCGGACGGAAGGGGGGTGGAGAATGTCTGAACGTTGAGTCGTTGCTTTTTCTTTTGCACATTTGGCTCTCCACTCGCTTCCAGTCATCGCAGCCAAGGTGATGTTGCCGGAGCGTACCAGACTGCAATTTTGTCGGTTTGGCGCCCCCATGTCGGAGAGAAGGAGGAGCTGGAGGAGGACTGGTCAAAGCGCAAGGCCACTTGCCAGAATCAGCCCCAGCCCTAATATACTATTTACTTCCTTACTCATTGTTACATTGCCATGTTTGCAACTCAGCTTGCTTATGCCTGACCTGTCGAGGAAGAAGTCCGCGAGGCTGTTGTGCACTTGTACTCGGGCGACCAAGCAGCGTCTTTGGCGTTTCTGCAGAAGGTGAGGGCCGTGACCATTGACGGACGCAGCGCCATGCTCAAGGTAGCGGCGTTGATGGCGGAGTTTTGCCCGAACTTGACGGTGCGCTGGAGGGACCGAGCCCACGCCATCAGGACCTTCTAGGGCCCAAGAAAGTGACGGATGCTGTAACTGTTGTAACTGTAGCATGCACAAGTGTGGCTTCGGCTGTTTGGAGTAATTTGTTTTGATTACTTTGCAGTGCATGCTCAGAGGCAATGGCATGGGGCGTCCCATCCGCGTGAAACCTTCGGTAGGATCGCGCTGGAGAAGCCGCTGAGGGGGGAGCACACTTGCATTGCCGGATTTCACGAGCTCGTGCTGGGGTCCCAGGGGCTGATTCCCAAACTGAAGGACTCCTACGAACTGCAGCTCAAGTTGCGGGCGATCATGTTGGGTAGCAGATGTGCCCTTATTAGTAGGCTTGCTGAATCAGGCGGGACGGGCTCGCAAACTAATGAAGTTTCGCGAGCGGCTGGTTCCTTGGTCGCAGGATCCACGCCTGCCGACGAAGGAGAAGTTGCGGAATAGGAGCGCCTTGAAGCGGATGACGCGGATCTGTCGTCGATGGTTTTTTCGCTCTTGCGCCGGTTTGACGTAGACTGGCATGATCCTGCCCATTGCCAAATGGAGAAGGCAGAGTTCGCCGGAAGGCGCGCGGCGCAGCCAAGTTACTTTGTCAACACTTACAGCTCTGGCCCTGGTTTAACTTTAACAGTAGTAAGGTTTGGAGACTTTTGAGGCAGCTTGCTGGAATGGTTTTTGTTCGGGAACTGCTATCTGTCAGGATGAAGACCCTTTTCCTGGAAGCCCGAATCGTGGAGGGCGAGGAGGGCCAGGCGGACGCTTGCTTGCACATGGTCATCAAGCAAGCTGTTGTGGGACAGCAGGACTGACTCAGGACTGACAAGCTTCGCTGATCTTTCGCACGATTTGTTGCTTTAAGTTTGAAAATTTGTTGGCGGTGTAGACTGTGCCGGATGTGCCCACTGTTCTTAACGCCCGAACGCCAGCAAAGCTTTGGCAGGACCAAGGCGGATGACCTCACGAAGGCTTTGACCGCAGTTGGCACCATTGTCCGACTCGTGCTGAAGCGGCTTGATGCCGAGCTGCCGGAGCAAGCCCTTGAAATGGCATTCTCCTGCTTTGATGTGAGCTCTGCCAGAAAGGAGTCGCAGAACCCTGGTCACTGGACCGGTTTTGAAACAGCCACCGAAATTCGTGTACGCCGGCTGCTCAAGGAGGGGCTCAGAATTATGGACCACGAGGAGGTGCGTGCTGCAGTCCGCGACTTCTGGTCAGCAATGCTGGAGCTTATTCGTTTGCCGGAAGCAGAGGTGACGGACAATCGCGTGCCTTGGGCGAATAAGAGGCACTCCGGAGGGCCAGCTTTGAACATGTTGGTGGGTTTCTACTTGGCCATGGAGGATGGAATTGTTCGCGTAGAACGCAATCACGCGTACTGCAAGGTCTTGCAAACAGCCCATGCCGGACCATTGTCAGATGACGGAGTCAGCTTCGAGCAACTCGTTGCCTTAAAGTTGGATGGGCCGGAAGCCGTGGCGGAGGCGCCCAGCAGTTCTACAGGCAGTTCTCAGGTGCCGGACCTTCAGTTGACGGACTTCGCAAGAGAGTTCCTGCGGGAATGGCGCCGGAAGCGGGCGCGGTTCAGGGTGCACAAGCAGGGCAGCCGGAAGGGACGCAAGGGTTCGAGCCGAGCCAACACGGCGGCAGCCATGAAGAGGCAGCAGCAGGAGGCCCTGAAGCAGCGCAGTGCTCCTCGGACAGCCGAGCCAGACGCCAGTTCTGCCAGCGTCTTGCCTGGAGTGTCGGTGTTGGCTGCCAAGCGTGCATTTTCAAAGACTGTGCCGGATGATGAGCTTGGGCCGGATTTGGCACGCTTAAAAAAGAGGACAGGCTTCATCAAGCGCAACAACTTAGCGGCAGCGCGGCAGCGCGCTTTCTGTCCATCTGGCAACCCTTTTGGGAAGCAAACTCTTAAAAGGGCCCAGGTGTGCACGAAGGCGGCGGGCAATGTTTCTGCCTGCAGAGATGGAAGCTTTGAGGATATCCAACTTGGCCCGCGTGAAGTTGGTGGACGCTTGCCTGTCGGAGTGCTCTTTGCCAGAGTCTGCAGCAGGAGACGATCGGGGTGCCAGAGACTGGCGGGTCCGGCGGCTTTTTGACAGCGACAGCCAGGGTCTCTACACCTACATTGCGCAAAGCCACCTCATCGTGCTGCCGGACTTGCCGCCGCCTGTGGCTGCCGGACGTCTTGCCGAGGCCCGGGCTTGAAGAACTTGCCTGGCTCAAGTCTGACGGCTGATGCAATAAACTTGTAGGAGCAAGGCGCAGCAATTGTTGACGGGTTAGCGCTTTTGGCGGGAGCTTGTTTTTGCTTGGCGCCCCAGGGATTTAAAGATGCTTTTGTCAGGCGCAGGCGAGTCAAGACTCAGCTTCCGGGTTGCAACTCTAACTGGAACGCGCGTTAGCGGGAGCCTAATTGCCAACCAATATTATTATTAAAGATTCCACATGTTGATTCAAGATTGGCTGGGATTGAGTGCTACACGCTGAGGCTTGCCAGCAGTCGCATTTTCTGCTCCAAGGTTTCTTGCCATTGCCCTCTCCGAGCTTGCCTTGCTGCGCTCGCGCGCAAATATGGGTAAGTCATGCGCGCCCAGGGTGTCCGCCCAAGCGGTGTCGGAGACCACGCCGAACAGGCCCAAGCGGATAAGAGCGAAGGTGACGCCGCAGAAGGCGGCGACGATCAAGTCGGGAGGCGGCGCGGGCCGTGGCGGACTTCCAGGTAAAGCCTGAGGCGGTTGTCAAGGCTGAGCTGCTGGAGGACGACGAGTGGTCGGAAGCGCGTCTTCCACCAGTGGGCCACCCGGAAAGGGTCTACCAGCAGCGCGGGTATGAGAAGAATCGTACTGACAGGTCGGGAGGCTGCAGGAACAAGAAGGCGGAGATGGCCGCAAGGGCCTGCCGGCTGCGCCGTGAGAGTGATGAGCACATTCTGCCCGCGAGGTTGCCGGACGAGCCCCTGGATTCGTACACGAGGAAGCTGGACGGATCGCAGCCCTGGAGCGCCAGAAGGCTTCCAGAGCTACGTGGTGGAGTAACGCGTGGAATGAGTCACACCGGCTTCGCGACGAGAACGAGGGGCTTCGCCGGAAGGTTGTGGAGCTGACAGCGCAACTCCGCATGGCGGAGCTTGTTGCAGGAGTGCCTGACGAGCCGGAGGGCTAAGTTGCCCCGTGCTTCCATCCGGCGGGTTCTGGCAGTGCAAGCGGCGAAGGAAGAACACAAGAAAAGCACTTGTAACAAACATAGTCAGAAATAATGGCACTTTTTTGTTTTATGTGTCTGTGTTTGTTGCCGGGCTGCGCTGCCAGCCTCAACTTTGGCTGGATTTCTCCAGCCAGACTTGAACTTGAGGGGTAGTTGCGGCTTCTTGCCGGAACGCTTGGGGTAGAGTCTCACTGCAAGTCTAGTGAGCTTTCGTGGAAAAATCTATCCGTCTTGCCGTGTGTTTGCAAACCATTCCGGCTAGCCTGTTTTTGTTTTCGCTCCCCCTCACTGCCTGCCGCCAGGCTTCTGCAGCACAGCCGCAGCGCAGAGACAGGGGCGAGGAGTGTAGTATGACGGACTTATTTGAATCCCAGCCCCGTGTTTAGCCATCACGCGTGATAACACGCATCACACGCTCATTGCCGGACCCCGGACCAATAAAACGGTTTAACCTTGCACATTGCTGGACCAATATTAAGTTATTAGGGTTGCTCATTTGCTTGCCGAACCAATGAGGGTTTAACTTTGCACATTGCCGGGCCAATGAGGGTTTAACCTTGCATCCCCCAGAATAATCTAATATTTTTTGCCAAGGGCCTGTGGCCATCCCAGTGTGATTATTGGTCTTGTTTTTGGTGTTGGTGTTGGTCTTGATGTTGTTCCTGGTGTGTTTATTATTGTTCTTGGTGTTGGTCTTCGGTGTTGTTCCTGGTGTCTTTATTGCTGTTGTTGGTGTTGGTGTTGGTGTTAGAGTCGGTATTGTTGTTGTGATGTTGTTTTTCCTGTTCTTGTTGTTGGGGTTGGCGTTGTTCTTGCCATTGTTCTTGTCATGGTTCTTGTTCTTGTCCTTGGTGGTGGTGCTGGTTTTGCTGTTATTGTGGCTTGTGTTGTTGTTGTTGTCGTCGTTGTCGTCGTTGTTGTTGTTGTCGTCGTTGCGTCGTTGTCGCTGTCGCTGTTGCTGTTGCTGTTGCTGCTGTTGCTGTTGCTGCTGCTGTTGTTCCTTTGTAGTTGTTGCGGTTGTCGTTGTCGTTGTTGTTGTTGGTGGTGGTTGTGGTTGTGGTGCTGTTTTTGGCGGGTGTTGGCTGTTGTTGGCTGTTGTTGGCTGTTGTTGGCTGTTGCTGTTATTGTTCTTGCTCTTGGTCTTGTTGTGGTTGTGGTTGTTGTTGTGGTTGTTGTCGTTGTCGTTGTCGTTGCTCTCGTTGCCATTGTCGTTGAAGTTGGTGTTGCTGTTGTTGCTGCTGCTGCTGCTGTTGTTGTTGTTGGTGGTGTTGTTGTTGTGGTTGTTGTTGTTCTTGTGGTTCTTGTTGTTGGTGGTGTTGTTGGTCTTGTTCTTGTTCTTGTTGTTGGTGTTGTTGTTGTTGTTCTTGTTCTTGTGATTGTTGTTGTTGTGATTGTTGTTGTTGTTGTTGGTGGTGGTGGTGTTGGTGTTGGTGTTGGTGTTGTTGGCGTTGTTGGTGTTGTTGTTTGTTGTGTGTTGTTTGTTGTTTATTGTTTGTTGTTTGTTGTTTGTTGTTTGTTGTTTGTTGTTTGTTGTTTGTTGTTGTTGGTGGTGGTGGTGGTGTTGGTGTTGGTGTTGGTGTTGGCGTTGGTGTTGGTGTTGTTGGTGTTGTTGGTGTTGTTGGTGTTGTTGGTGTTGTCGGTGTTGTTGGTGTTGCTGGTGTTGTTGGTGTTGTTGGTGTTGTTGGTTGTGGTTGTGGTTGCTGCTGTTGTTGTTGTTGTTGCTGTTGTTGGTGCTGGTGCTGGTGCTGGTGCTGGTGCTGGTGTTATTGTTGTTGCTGGTGGCGGTTGTTGGTTGTTGGTTGTTGGTTGGTGGTTGGTGGTTGTTGGTCGTGGTCGTTGTCGTTGCCGTTGTCGTTGTCGTTGTGGTTGTGGTTGTGGTTGTGGTTGTTGTTGTTGTTGTTCTTGTTGTTGGTGGTGGTGTTGTATTTG